TGCAACCTCTTTGGAAGACAGTGTGGCAATTTCTGAAAGAACTAGAAATTGACCTTCTATATGATCCAGCAATTCCCCTATTGGGAATATACCCGGAGGAACTCCAATCATTCTACAAAAAAGATACCTGCACATGTATGTTTGTTGCAGTTCTATTCACAATAACAAAAACATGGAGCCAACCACGCTGCCCATCAAAGCTGGATTGGATTAAAAAAATGTAGTGCATATGCACAATGGAATATTATGCAGCCATAAAGAAAGACAAGCATTTAGACTTTGCAGCAACTTAGATGGATTTAGGGTCGATCATATTCAGTGATCTATCACAGAAACAAAGAACAGAGCACCATATGTTCTCACTCATACGTGAATTTGGACAATTATCGTAATACCGTAAGAAAGGGATTGGCAGCAGTGGGAAACTGTTGAGGGGGAATAGGAGTGACAGATGAGGGAAACTGCCAGGGCAGGGAGGGGAATACCTCATCAACAAGGGTACCTCCATAATCAATATTTGTATACCTAATCCTAAATTGTATCCCACATTTTTATAATAAAAAAAAGAACACTGATATTATAAATATCAATGAATGGCAACTTAAAGAGGAAAGAAACAATATTTTCTTAGATAAATGTGAATCATCCAACAAATACCATTTTTTTAATTCTGTAAGAACAGAATGAATATGCTATACAGATCTATTGCACAGCATGGTGACTATAGTTAATAGAATATTGTATACTTGAAAATTGCTAAAAGAATAGATCTTAAACTTTTTTCACCACACACAAAGAAAACTATGTGAGGTGATAGATATGTTAATTATCCTGAATTATTTCACAATGTATACATATATTAAAATATCATGTTGTATACTGTAAATACATAAAATTATTGTTTGTCAATTATATCCTAATAAACCCCAGGGAGATAGAGAATAATAAATTATAAAATAATCTCCAACCACTGCCCAACTCAAGAAATAAAAACTAAAAGAAGGAGAAAATATAGTATGAAGGATGGAAAGAAGAAAGGAAGAAGGAAAGGGGAGGGGAGGGCAAGAAAAGGAAAGGAGGAACGAGGGGAAGGAAAAACCACAACAAGCAAAAGTGATGGAGGGGAGCAGGAGAGAACCCAAAAGAGGAAGGAAAAAAAAAAGAAGTAGAGAATATTGCATCAGAAAAGAAAGAGGTATCAGAGCGATTTACAAAGATCAGAAGGAACAGGAAAATAAATAAGAAAAAGCCAGAAGCCTGTCTCGGTGGCTCAGCCTGTAATCCCATGCCTTTGAGAGGCTGATGTGAGTGGATTGCCTGAGCCTGCGGGTTCGAGACCTGCCTGGGCAGCAAGACCTCATCTCTACAATAAATCAAAAAATCAGCCGGGCGTGGTAGCGCAGGCCAGTAATTCCGGCTACTCGGAAGGCTGAGGCGGAAGGATCACCGGAGCCCAGCAGGTCGAGGCTGTAGCGGCCGGGAGCGGCCACTAGCACTCCAATCTGGGCGACAGAGTGAGACTCCAACTCAAAAAAAAAAAAAAAAAAGGAAAGAAAAGAAAAAGCTAGAATAATAGTAAAAGGAATTCATAGAAGTGTGGCGAATTTTCAGTCAGTAAAGAGACTTAGTGAAAGAGATATGCAGGCAAAGGCAGAGAAACATCAATAGCAAAAATACACTTTTGATTTTATAGTAGTAGAAATTAGCTCATTTTTTAGTTGTAAACACCACTGCACTCAGACCAGTCAGTAATTACCTCATTTTTTTATAAACTGATATTCATCATGCTATAGGCATGAGAGAGTTACTTCAAGTTATCAAAAACTTTTCATAATGATGTCAAAGTAATGGAAATTGTAGTTTAATTCTCTTCTGTAAAAATCACTGGAAACAGTAGCATAGCAGTGAATGAAGATAGAAAAATACGAAACAAGGAACTGGAAATACAAAAATAGTCAATATGATACAGTCCTGTTCAGTACTAGAAAATCTGGAACAAAATGTAAAAAGAGGTTCCACATATTTCTAGATGCCAAGAGAATGTACTGTTTCCTAAAGTGCCACAATGCTGAGGGATCTGAGGCAACTGGAAGGCCTGAAAGTGGGGTCAGAAAACATTACATTAGAAAGTCTTGAGGGAAAATATGACTGATGAATATGACTTAGCCAATGAATTAAGATAAGGAAGGTTCTTGTCAAGCACGTAGTATTTCAGGAATACAAGTGATACAATCTAGCCAACAATGAGATGCTTAAAAGTCAAATATGACAAATCCTTGGCCAAATAACTGGAGTTGAGCAAGGAACCCACGTCCATATGAGACTTTGACTAAGCTATTTAGGAGCTGTAGTTGTAGGACAGAGAATAAAAGTCATAGGTGTAAAAATGTAAAAATACCAAAATATGAGACTTAGATAGATGTGTGTTTCTCTTCCTAACCTTTCAGAACAGGAAACCACTAGATGCTCAAACATTAGGTACAAATTTATGTTGTCTTTGATTTTTTCTAAAATTTTGATGTCTTTTATATAAAAAAATTATTTACTCTTGTTTAATTTTTGTTTTCATTTCATTTTAATAGCTTGCCTTTGTTTTTAAATAGTTCAAGATGCCACTATATATCATTTAGAGCTACTTATCTATCATCTATGTAAAGTAATATATCTGAAATTAAGCTTTTAAAACATTTATTTATTTTTTAACTTTCACAGTCAGATTTGAGGACTGTCTTTACTTTCTCTATAGTAGTTTTTGTCTGTTGTTCATAGAATATATATCTATGTATATGATGAGAATGATGATGAAGAGATAGATAGATATCCAAAAAGAAAGATATTTTAGAAAGAAAACACTGTAAAAAAAAAGTTATGGTTTCTTAACCATTTTATCTGTAGTTTATTTCTCTTTGATTATTGATATAATGCACTGTTATGCATTGGGTGAAATCATCATATTGCAGGAGATAGTATTGTTTGTCCTACAATTACAGTTTTACACTTCACAATGGCCTATTTTATCAACATTCGTCATGTGGAAAGCTTTAGTAACTTTTTGGCTCCCAAAGATCAATTTGCTTATCCATGGTGTGCTGTGTGTAATAGTATATAACTCCCTCCTCCGACCCCTCCCCTACAATCTCTCTGATTGCTTTGGACTGTGGAGCAACTAGCTCTTGTCCCCACCCTTTGTGTTGCTTTACCTCTTGCATGTACAGACAAGATCATATATGTAGGGTTAGCCCTATCCCTAGTTGACTACATTGACATGTGTCAAGGGAGCCAGCATCAGAGAGGAGGGTTATGTCCACTCCAAGAAAAATTAAAAACAAAGTCACATTTAGTTGTCTTAATAAACAGCAAAATATTTTATTCCTTTATAGAGTTCATATTGCAAATGACCTTGGAAGAGAAGTCATGTAGTGTGAAATTCAAACTATGATATACGTGGCTAATAAGCTGGGTTGAGAGATAATAGTTGTTTTTTAATAGAATAATATTATATATCTGAAACATACTAAAAAAGCAGATAATTCCAAATTTTTTTAAAAGTCTTTAAGGGAGGCTAGGAATGCTGGACATATATTTTCTTAATTTATGGATGGTTAGAGTAATCTGATACATATACTATACAAGCATCTGAAAATGAGACAATAATATACTAACAGACACATAAGAATGTAACGTACTAATTATACAAATATGAAAAGAACAAACTAAGTTGAGCAGTATGTTGATAAACATTGGCTTCAAGTTTTATTATTTACTTCAATTATATTCTTCAAGTACACTTTGGAGAGAGTTTCTAAATACATAGAAAAGCAGAGTAGAAATGCAAATATACATGCAGATGACAGATTGTCACACAGTTATAAGATTGAGTTTA